AGGGTCAGAAATAGTTCAAGTTGGCGGTATAAGCAAACGCCACTCATTTTGATCTAATTCCGCCCTTAGAACGAAAATGTTTATCTGACCTGCCCTCATTTAAGAGTAGGTGCGCCGTTGTCGCCTGATCGTTATATTCGCGGTTGCGTTCTGCTCGTCGACATGATGAAAATAAACTAGTTCCAGCCGGCTACCCAAAGTACCAGCGCCACAGGCCTTCTATGTGACCGCAAATCAGACTCTTTGTATAGCATGAGTTCAAGTCCGTTTGAAGATTTGTTGAGCTTCGCAAAATCATGGAACGTGGCCGTGGACAGCGACGAGTTCGCAGGACTCATGGACGACAGTGACCCCTTAAAATCCTTCCGGTCCAAGTTTTTTTACCCGAAAATGCGGTGCATGCCAAAAGGTGAGGCTGAGCGAATAAATTTTATTGAATCGATACGATTCCATTGTTTCATTACTCGCTGAACCCTTTTCTGGTGTCATGTTTAAAGATTAATTTTAAAGTTTTTGCTACAAAGCAATTTTGATTTTTGAGATAGTTTCATTATCCACTGCTCTGAAGTATTTCGACCGCCATTGCGTTCAGTTCGGCCATTCACAGTAACGGTGTTACACCTGACGATAAAAATTTGGTACTGCATGTTAATAGATGTGAGAAAACGGCACAAAATTTATATTACATAAGCGCCATATGTCGTTCGTTTGTGGCCGTGCGGCCAGTGCAATAAAACCATGTTGTTGCTGTTTCTCGGTATGCTGGCAAGCACGAACAAAAGTCTCGATTTTTCGATGCTTCAGAAGATTGAAGATTTCGTTTGTGTTTTAGTGATCATGCAGCAAACAGTAAGAAACACGGTTTATTTGCACATAACTCAAACATATGGTAATTCGAATGATTGGTCAGTACCAACGATTCAGCCTGTTCTCAATGGGGGCCTAATTTCAGAAAATTTTTCTGTGGTTTACAGAAAACTGTAGTCAGAACGCAAACTGTCGGTTAGATTGTTTTATAGCATTATGAGCAGTTGCGATGTTCAAGCTTGCTCACCAATATTTCTGTTTGGCGTCATTGTTAAAATAATTGGTAAGTTTTTTCTAAAAGAAAATTAACTTAAACACTGTATTAAATATTTCCCTCTCGAATTTGTTCTTCAAATAAACGAAAATTATATCCTTGGGCCACCCACCTTTCATTGTCTCTGCCGAATTTTTCATAGAACATTTTAAAATGTGGCCCACGACACGAACTGCTTCCAAGGGTTTTCAAAAGATACGTTGAAGATACGATTTCCATCTGTTCCATTGGTCCTGAATATTAAAGTATTAAACCTGTTCCATTAAAATCGAGTTAACCATTAAAGTAGAAAGTGGTCAGTCTACCTTTCCCTGATGTCCTAATAATCCGGTCAACCGTTATCTGACTTGTTCTCGTCATGAATGCATCATCAACGCAGCTTGATGCTCTTGAAGCAATCCTTATTTTCCTCTGACAAAATCTGGCAAGATCATCCCTACGGGTTTTCGGACGAATGACTCGACAATGGTGGTTCATCGAGACTCAGTTTGTAATTCTTCATATCCACCAAAAAATGCAGAAATATTGAAATGAGTTTGCTAGCATACTGCTAGTTTTCAATACCGCCGTCAATGGTGACATTCTCCTGTCACTTCTCCGAGTTTACACGGCTTAGCGTACCGTTTTCTAGCTTCAAGTAGCTTAGGAAACCGTTTAAATATGCCACCGCTGTATGGTATTGAAAATTGGCGTCATTGAAAACTAGAAGTTTTCTAGCAAGCCCATCATAATGGGAATTATTTTTTGGTAAGTATTCGTTCAGCCCAATGTAAATTTGTTTGTATTCGAATATTTGTTTGTTCGACTCAACATAATGATAGACCGTTGCGCCTCAAGCACTGCTGTTACAGTGATATCATAGAGCCGTAGCCTGCTTAAACGTGTCGTTAGGCTACTAGAAGCAAAGGGACGGTACGCTGCGCACTGTAAATTCGAATAAGACATAGGAGAAAGCTTCAATAAACGCCATTAAACTTTATGAGTTATTAAATAATTTTGAGAATGACAACTGTCTAGCCTGAGTACACAAATTACCACATAACTGCAATAAATATTATATAGGAAAAACACGGTGTACCATTAGCCGCAGAACAAAGACTATGAGTAATGAACCAAGGAGAAGGAGTCTAAGTTACAAGAGGCCAGCTGAAGGACGAAAGGTGTCAATGCGAAAAGAACTTGAATGAACTCTTGAAACTAATAATTTGAGATGAAATCTGAAAGAAGTCTGCCGTACCACGATCGCATGACGCTCAACGATATTTTCGTGAGACCGTTCAGAGTCATGCGGACGGAGCATATGAGGTGGTGCCTAAAAGATGGTGAACTATGTATTGGCAGAACCAGGAAACGAAATCATTTCTAGATATTCCTAGACGGTTGACGTACAAATCATTTGTCAGATTTGAGTGCAAAAACCAGAGACTAATCGAGCCATGCTGGTTTAGTAGCTGGTTCTCCATCGAAGCTACCCTCAGGACAGCTGACGTCGAAATCATTTGCTTTACGCAGTGAAGAGAATGACTGAAATTATTGGAGAGCGAACACTTTTAAACTCTTCTCAAATTTTGAACTGGTACGGTAGGCGGCGTTCCTTAGCATAGTTTTACAAATGAGGTGTCGATGGAATGGTCTAAATTTCGTAAGCACAACTGGTAATGTGCGATGAACCAGATGTCTCGCTAAAGCTCCTGTTATGAATATTGGGCAGGTGCAGTGAAAAATATCAAATCATGGCCTGCCACGATTCATGAAACGGTTGGCCTGCAAGAGCACTGAAGACTCGGTCTATGACGTTGTGGACCAGCGGATTGGGCGCGGACAGATGGTTAATGTCAGCGCTAGGTACTGAGGCCGCCACATTGAATCTGTATAACTGGCCAATGGTCAGCTGCATCAATTGCGTGATTCAGCACATCGTGTTATAGGCCAGTGGGTAGACCTTGCAACTGAAGTACAACGGCCTTGCCAAATTGAGACTGTAGATGATTTTCGTTTTATTTAAGGATTCCATCGATGTGACGGCGCGTGGTCGCTAAGTCAGCACGCAGTCATTTGATCAGGAGTCGGAGTTTATATAATTACAGGTGGTCATCTGTGTTAATTGCTTGATTTAATTCCTCATCGCTCGGAAGCTCTCCGTTAGCACAATATAAAACTTTCATCAGTTTCAAAGCTGGCATCTTCATCCGACGATTTCAGACGGACAAACCATCCGCCGTCTCCGAGGTGGAAAGAAGGGCAGTCTTAGGGTCCTGAAGGACAAACCTGAATGCCATCCTATCGAAGAGAAGAGCACACCAGAGAGGCACTGAGAAACTTCTCAGCCATAAATAGGTCTAGGCAGACTCGCCTAAATAGAATCAGAGAGCGAATGTTAATCTTTCGGTATATGATGAAGTGAAAACTGAAAACACCTTCAAAAATAGCAAGGCGGTTAAAATCGATGAAATTTGTTATGAAATGCTTATAAGTTTAGAAGAATAAGGTGTGATGCAGTTAACAAGTGTCTGCCAAGCTTCAAAACTGATGAGTTAGGCACTAGTGGACCGGAGAACTGGGGTGATAGTACTCCTGTTCAAGAATGGAGACCAGAGGAAGTACTCCAGTTATCGCGGCATCACCTTATTGAACTTGCCGAGAAAAGTCTTTGAATTGGTGTTAACATGGAGGTGATGCGAATAGCTGGCACTAAAATCCAAGAAACGCAGTGTGGCTTCATGTCATACCAAAATATCTCGCACCAGATTTTTTTCTTACTCTAGACTGTTCAGAAATTGCGGAAGTTCGCTCACGCGGTTTACATATATTCCGTTGACACGGGGAAGGTCTATGACCGGATTCCGTGCAATAAACAGTTGGCATGCCTAAAAACATGTGATCAATGGTCATTTGCTAGGAGCAATCCATTCTTTATATCTAAATGGCGCTACGTCAGGGCCTTTCATTGCTGACACTGGTCTCCGCCAAGGTTGCGTTCTGTCCCATCTCCAGTTCGTGTTGTACGTGGATAATATAGTCAGGCATAGTGGAAGGAAGAGATCGACCATCGAACTAGAATGGCCAGTGACGTTCTGCATCAACTAGCGCGAACTAAACTAGATGTTTTCGATGTCTGTAGACTAAGCTTTAAGCGTTCCAGTCGATCTTCAACCCAGTGCCCACTTACAGTAATGAGTCGTTGGCCATAACTGAAAAGTTCGATCCCGGGAACAACCAGATTCAATTGGTTTTCTGAGACCAATCGCTGTTCTCACGCATCTCAATATGGTCCAAAGTTAAAGTATTTCAGAGAGAGCGCCATGATGTTAAGCCACTGCTCCTACAGACAGAAAAGTCACGGCTGCGACGCCTTGGATACATCTTTCGAATACCTAAAAAATGAAGGTGAAACAGTTATTACTTTCCAACCGGCCGGCAGACAGCCCGGGAACGGCCAAGATTAACCTTGGGCAAATGGCTACTTAATGAAAGAACTTGCTCCAGATTCGGGCCATCTCTTGCAGAAACTCAAATGTTTGCACAGGATCATTAATGTTGGAGATGTGTCTGACGCGTCTGTCTCCATGACCTGAAGGGTTCAGCACTCATGAAACTTACTAATTAACGATGGTTTCATGTTCTGCTCAAATGGAGCTTCGGAGTGCGCTATAACGTGAAGGATTGAATCAAGTAATTGATGATCACCTACAATTACATATACTCTGACTCCGTAGTAAATGACCTCGCGCAGTTACCATGATGGAGTAACAAAATAAAAAATCACCGATATTCATAGATTGACAACGGCATCGCGTTTTACATCAACTGATATATAACGTTTTGGGTAAAATCACGTAGTTGATACTGCTGACCACTGTCCAGTCATGCATATTCAACTTGGCCACCGCCCGGTCAATCGCTGACAACAACCAGCGCTCTGCACCAAAACGGCTACTCTAATCTGCTGCACCAAAACTTCTCATTTCGCTGACAAAGCGATTTATGACTTCATGGCAGATATATCTGAAACAATGTTTCCAAAACATTTTGATCGCAACTCTACGTGCAATCTTTGCCTGATCTGGCCACCCAAAGGGTCTATTCATGTAGTTTTAATTTTGTGTGGTTTTGATATATTCGTAGCGCTAATTTGGATAGCTTTACTGAATTGAAAAACGTATATGATTTCTTAATATCAGAGGAGATATAATATTCAGGTAACTCACAAGCGGGAAGACAACGCGTAAAACGTTCTTTAATTAGGGACATCTGGTGTTTCGGACCGAACTCGGTCCGTCTTCAGAGTACAAGACTGTATTCTTCCCGTTTGTAACTTACCTAAAAACTTTATTGAACTGTATCTAAAAGACGAGAAGTGGAAGTAATTTTTCATGTAAAAGGAAAGAGTGTGACGAAGTTAACTACTCAGAGATGAAATCAAGGGACATATGATAAATTTATCAATACAACTCTTTCAGTGGATTTGAGCCTCGTGTGCCCTGAAGATGATGCGGTGTACTTATGCGGAAACTCCCTCGGACTTCAGCCAAAGAACACTGAAACCATTGTCAATCGAGAGTTGAGGAAATGGGCTGAAAGGTAAATATTTATTCCCTCCAGAGTTGTACAATTTCTGTTTTCAGCGCAGAGGGTGGGCGGTCCTCAGGAGAATTGCCGTGGGAACAATGTGACAAATTAGCCGTCGAAGGAAACGCGGTTTTGGTTGGTGCTGAGAAAGACGAAATAGTGGTTATGAATTCTCTTTCCGTCAATCTTCATTGTTTACTGGTAAGAGCGAACGGAATTCAGTTAGGAAATTTACGAACGAACATGATTTGCTATACAGGGAGTCAACGCTCATGATCTGTACATTTAAACCTTTCTCATCAAGGTTATCATTATCTTGAATTTTCTCACCTCTAATCTTGTACTTGCAAAGCACTGTCCATGCTATGGCACTGCTCAGTGGTAATCAACTCTAATAATGCCACTTGATCTATTGGATGTGTGCCTGAGTACTTTCAGATTCGTTATTTAGTTATCTTTGGAATAATTAGGAGGGGGCATTGCTCAGAGGTAATCAATTCTACTAATGCCAGTTGAACCGTTGGATGTATATTTGAGTATTTTCAGATTCATTATTCATTTATCTTTGGAACAATTAACGGGACAATGCAGTACGCCGTGAAATCTCGTCGTGGGTGTATTATGCATTATCTGACATATTGCATCATATGAACGTAATTGTACAGTTATGCGGTAGCACGTAAGGAATGTCACCTTCTAAAGCGTCGTTAGTAATCCAGCAAAATGAGGCGAGTTGTATCTTGCACTACAGACGCTCAATTTTCATATAGCCGTGGTCTGCTTAATTTGTCTTTTAGGCAACTTGGAGTAAGGAAGTGCGGAAAAATGCCATGAAATCTGATCTTGCAGGAGTAATGTGTAATTTTTCGGAATAACAGACGAATTGGAGAACTTTTATCGCCAAAAAAAGTATGCACGGTGGATTATCGCTATCCATCGAGGCCGTGCAACACATACCCTTTATAAAATCAAATCGAGGTTTCTTATTCTACCGCCTCACCTAATCGTTGGAAAGATTTTTCATCTCTGTCAGCTTCACGGAGAGGGATGAGTCATTGCATCGTAACTCTTTGATTGTTTTCTGTCAAAACAAGTTTGCTGATGTTTCCTCAGATTTTTCCCAGATTTTCTATCGTCGTTTCCACTTCATCATGTACCCATGTTTTATCGTCTTTCGTTTTCTTTCACACGCAGCCAGACCATATTCTGATCATGTGCATGATTCTGCTTTTACATGTGATCGTATTATTTAAGCCACGTTCATTTCTTCTGTCAATTATTGAAGGTCTATGAACAGCTCTTTTCTGACAACGACAAGTTGCAGTGAACTCTCTCCAACTTGAAGATTTCCTTGGTTTACCTCAAACAAGTAATTTCGATTAATAATGACATGCAATTCCATATTTCTGAGCCATAGGTGACTATGAATTGAATGCAACACGAGTCCAAGTGTTCATTCGAACAGCGAGTTGAAAAGATTAAGATTTCGTCAATTACTACTACAAACTTGTGCCCATGCGAAATATTTTATTTTTTCCATTAATTTCTATTTTAAAAGTAGCAGCCACTGAACATCTTACAGATACGGCAGTTAATATTTTAGTTTCATACATAGTATTCTTTAAATCAGTGACAGGAAGCGTGGGTGGTGGTTTTGCCCAATATTCAGGTTATGAATTTTGCCTTCGTCTGATACGTTCTTTTCAGCTCTCCTTTTACAAACCAACTCGTGAACGATACAAGATTTTAATCGAATGGCAAGCATTTCCATCCGACAGCGTAACAGAACATGTCTTAGAAGTCAATACGCTTTTAATTCGGAATTTAGTATGTGGTTCAATCACAGGTTCTGCTACACGGTTTGAAGCCTGAAGATTCTGTTGTAATACTGGAACCACGTCAGGTAATGCACTAATGATTATTTATCACGTTTAAGTGACGTTTGGACTGTCTTACTGCGTTCGTTAAACTCTGAAATCGATGAGGTTAGGGTTTGCTATTCTCAAGCGGCAGCACCATAACAGCCGTCGTTTGTTCAACGGAAGAGAATCACGAGGAAATGATTTCACCGTTCGTTTATTAGCGAGTCATGCGGGTAATGAGCTCAATCCTTTCCTCTGAGGTTGTATGCAGAGTATGACTCTCTAAGAGAAAGCAGCTTCATGAGGCATATGCATTTTCTGACGAACACGACTACCACTGTTTAATTTTTTAACCAACATTAGTCCTTGTCCCTTGTCCGTGACGGGGCCACATGTTTGTATCATGGAGATCAAATGGTGTGTTTATCTTGATCTAATCAGGTGACGATGATTGGCACGTTTTCTTCATTTTAAAATATCGAAGTAGTGAATTGAAGTATCCTATTTGCTGAGATTCAAACGCAGTTGACAGCTGAGCATAGGGTTACCTGAACATTATTCAATGACTGATTCATTACAGGATTTCGGGGATATCACAGCAGGCAATCAACCGCTTTTCGTTCTGTCATTTGATCTTCTACTTTGTTCGCAACCGGCTCTCCGTGACTTGGGCGGCGGAGTATACCTGCCAAGAAATTACGAGCTATCCAACCTGATTTCACTCATAAGGTTCAACAAAGCCATCTTTTGCTCTTTCTTAATATGGTACGGTACGAGGCGCTGTCGACTGAGGATGGTTAACGGCACAGAGGATACAGTACACTGTCGTTCAGCATAATAAATCATGCAGTTCTTAAGCCAAATTACTGTACTGAACGAGAATGCAAAGTGATATGAAGCAAAACCTTGAATATGTCATTATTATCATCAGCAAATTCATATGCCAACTCTGCCGCTTCCGGTCTCAAGTCCGGACGAGGAAGAAGAAGGACTGATTACCGTGGGCGAGTTCTCCTATAAAATTTAGTCTTCAGCTGCCCCACACGATATTATCATCATCGAACATTACATAAGATGGGTCGTCGCCCCGGTTACGAAGGGTCGCGCAGGCTGTATGATCAGAACTTGCTTACCGCTTCACGCAGTCATAAGCGTGGCAACATGACAATGAATGGAGATGATCAACGAAACGATGACGAAGATGCCAATCAGCGACGGAGTCGGTGCCCATTTTGAATAGAGGAGTCAGAGTCAGACATCGCGATGCCATTATACCACGTCAGAAAAGTCTCCATGAGAACGACACCGCCAGTGGGAACTTACAGTCGGAAATTGTAATATATCGTCACTCAGAGGAAAGAACAAGAATTAGTTGATGAGGCCATAGAGTAAGAACTCGACATGGACTCTCGTCAGCGAAACGCCAAGGCTCTAGAATCCTATACCTCTGTGGGTGGAAATTGCTCTGCTCAGGTGTCGGCATCATCGGCCGGTGATGGTGTTCTGGTAGAACCTAACCTGGCTGATAGGATCATTGAATGGAAGCTTGCCAGCGAGAGCGTGGGAAATCTTCAACTGAAGCTACAGCGGTATAAAACGTTAACCTTGTTGCAGGTCAATGCGCCCAATTTGGAGGGAGAATAGGAAACTTTCCTGTGAGAAGTACGCGGTGCTCTGTATGAAACGGTAACTACGGAATCAAGCATTTCAATAGGCTGTTTCAATGCGTCTCTCGCAGCAGCCACTGAAAAGCAGAAGGGCGTGATTGGGAGGAACTGCCAAAGCGACCTCAACCTCAATAATAACTGCATGAAATTGTTCGGGCTTTGTGCAAACAACGGACTGTCTGCCATGAATACCTTCTTCGAGCATTGAAGAACGCAAGAGTGTGCGTCCTTTAAGGAAGCCTGTTCACAGAAGTCGATGATCGATTTGATAATCATGTCCTCTGACTCTGCAAAGGACGCTGGCATTAAGAGAAGCGCAGAGCTGCCAACCGATAATTACACGATGGAGTACCAGGCGAAGACCTAGAGGCAGAAGCAACTAGAGAATCAAATCTGAAACATAATCTACTGTGGATATGAGGGCAAAACTTGCGAACATCATGGCATTATGGTCTGAACAGATCCTTTTGTTGACCGCTGATATGGAAACAGAGTGGACGCTCTTTAAGACCGGCTTACTCGTTGCTGCCGCCAAATGCTGTATCTTAAAATGGGTTGACCTGCTGCTTGGAGGGCATTAACAACTTTTTGGTGGACAGGAGAAGTTCAGCTGCAGTCAGCGACAAGAAAGCTCAATGCAACATATGGTTTGGAAGCAAAACTCTTAAACTCATATGCAATAAGAAGAAGCGTGCCTCACTGCGGCGAAAGCAATGGCCAAAGTGAAAGCTGCTTCCAAAATGAAAATGTTAAAGTCGACTTTCCTGAAGGGCAAACAAAATATATTGGCATGCCATCCGCTGATATCGAGGTGTAACCGTGTTTATTTCATTATGAATGAGTATTATAACTATTTTATATGCTGGCACACACACACACACACACACACACACACACACACACACACACACACACACACACACACGTCTCTTC